GCTCCAGCCACCATGTGGAGCTCCGGCCGTAGCTCCGGAGGGGACGGCGACCCCGAGCGCGAGCGGTGTGTCCGCGCAGATGGCGCGAGGAAGCGCTCGGCCAAGAAGTGGACCAACCAAGGCTTCGAGCCGCCGGCGTCGCTCCTCCGACGCGAGACGGAGGAGTACGACCGCCGGCACGGGCTCCTTCGGTCGCCCTCCTCGGTCGCGAGCTCTTCCTCCATCGCGAGGGGCCGTTCCGGCGCGGCGCTTCTCCCCGTGAAGAGGGAGTGGTCAGAGGAGCCGGAGGAGATCGAGCTCGTCGCCGTCAAGCAGGAGCCGGAGGAGATCGAGCGTCGAGGCGTCGTCGGGCCCGAAGATTATGTGGCCGATGTCGACGCGGTCGCGGCTGCCATTGCCAAACGGAGCTTGCGCGAGGAGGCGGAGCGCTGGCGCGACGACGAGGAGCTCAAAGACCTCATCCTCAAGCAGGCGGTCGCGGCCAACCTTGCCGCGAAGGAGAAGGACGACGAGTGGCGGCGCATCCGCGAGGAGCAGAGGCAGAAATTCATCAACCTCATCAGCTCCGACGAGGAGGACTAAGCTCCTCCACCGCGTCGTACTCGGCCGTGAGCTCGTCCATTTGGTACATCGACCTCGGCCTCGCTGCCGATCCCCCGCCCCTCTAGTAGTAGTGGTACAATGTAGTATGTATGATCATGTAGTATATGATGAACTAGTGTATGATCATGTAGTATGTGATGAACTAGTGTGGTTGTAATTTCTTCCGCGAAAGTTTTTTAAAAATTATGCAATTTCATATACGGGTCTACTCTGCCGTGCACGATTTCGACCCGCAAAACAGTTCGACGTCGAACCGTAAACGTCATATGCAGGTCGGCTTTTTACGGGTCTGCTAGAGATGCTCTAAACTCAGCAATATAGGAAATGATGTTCCGATCGATGAGCTGACGGAGCGTAACACGGCTACGTGCCATGTCTGCGTGCAGTCGCGCTCCACTCGGACAGGTAGTCTTGTCTGGCTCAGCCTGCACGTCATCATCATAATATAACGAGGAGTAGTAAGCAGATATAGCCAGTGTTAGGTGGACAGTGGTATCCCCAACCCATCAGGGTTCAAATCCTGGTGCTCGCATTATTCCTGAATTTATTTCAGGATTTCTGGCGATGCGCTTTCAGTGGGAGGAGACATTCCTGTCGACGACGAGGCGCCTACAGTGACTTCGTAAATCTCAAGATGATATGCCGGCTCAGTCTCTCGAAGGTGCTCATAGGGGTAGGGTGTGCGTGTGTGCGTTCATAGGGGTGTGTGTATGCGCGTGTATATGAGCGCTTGTGCTTGTACTGATGATAAAAAAAAGATATAGCCAGGTACATACTACAGAATCCCAAGCCTCGTACCCGACGCTGACCGGCCTTCCACATATCGATCGACATGGACATGACCGGGCAGCTACCCGAGGACATGCTCCTGGACGTCCTCCGCCGCCTCTCTCCCCGCAGCCTCGCGGCATGCCGCTGCGTCCGTAAGGAATGGCGCGTCGCCGTCGACTGCCACCGCCTACTGCGCATGGACCTTCTCCCGCTCTCGCTCGACGGCGTCTTCCTCGAGCTGCATGACCCAGACCTGCCTCTCGAGAGAATGGAGCATCCCATGCCTGCGCTCTTCTCACGCCGCACCATGGCACGCCGGATCGCCGCCAGCCTTGGCTACTCGGAGCGGACACCCCCTCCATATATGAGTGCGGCATGCAGGACTGCTGCAACGGGCTCCTCCTCTTGCTCTGCGACCATGTGGTCAATCCCGCCACCACTACAAGAAATATGTCAACTTGTGACCACCACTATTGGTCACTGAAAGGTCACAAATTTCCATTTACGACCTTTTTGTGACCAAAAATAGAAGGTCAAAAGCTGGCCGTCGTAAACTGACTATAGCGACCTTTCTTCTGGAATGGTCAAAGACGTTTACGACCAAAATATTCCTACTGTGGCGTTTTGGTCACTAGCAACCTCCCCCAGGCCACGTAGGCATCCAGCATGGCAAGCTGATGTGGCACAAGATTCAGCCCGGTCCAATTCGATTTTCTACATGGGTCGAGCCCAACAATTCGGCCTTTTTACTGTATTTTTTTTCTTGTTAATTTTTGCTAGCTACATGGGCTTGGGCCATTAATTCGGCCTTTTTTTCTAAGATGCAGCCTTTTACAGTTTATTGATATTTTATTTTCATCCTTTTTTTTGCCACTGGTCCCACCAATCAGATTGGTCCCACTTGTCATGCTTATCACAAAATTGATCCCACACATCAAAAATTTAAAAATCTGTCAAACAACTATTATAACTTGGACCCCCTTGTCAGGTTCCATTTGACAGGTATTCAATACACAATCATTATTTCAAACAATCCAAATAGCAAATGAAATTCGTCCAAAACAACACGGCATTAGTCTATTACAAACATTACAGTATACTACAGCCCAGATAAGCCTACTACTGCCTACATTTACAACACATAATATGCTAGTCTTTATTGATATGCTTCACAGCTTCGAACTTGGATTTGCACTTCACCTGTGCAAAAAACAAGAATGAACATATAAGAATAAGAATCTATACAGAACATCAAACAGTAGCCAATGAGGGATCCAATAACTTATAAGCAAGAATTGACAGCAAACATGTATTGATACCTAGTGTTGACTGTATTTGCATCTAAACTGAATGTTGATCCAAAGTGTTGACTAAATCTGCATCTAAACTGAATACTCTTAACTGAACATAGACAAGTGGTATGCTAATCAGGTGTCAGAATGATATCTGATTCAACAAGGTTAACCAAATTTCCCACATAGTTTTGGGGAAATTCTATTTATCTACAGTGATTGGTAGCTATTGATGGCAATGTGACAGTACAAACAGACTTGTGGCTGCTCATTTGTATTCAGGTAACTATGGCAGTGACGCAAATAGACTTGTGGCTGCTCATTCACTAGCTATGGCAATGATGCAAACAGACTTGTGGCTACTCATTCACATTCACATGCACGCATTCCAGCCATGTTGACAGTGTCAGAAACTCGACTGATTTTCAAAACGAAGTACTGTTGGTGCTGCTACCGCTGCAGAATTGGTTGGAGATGCACCCACCTTGTTGGTGTAGATGGTCCAGTTGGTGAAGAGCTCTGATAGCATGGCTCCGAGCTGCCCAAAGAGCGCACGGAGGCGCCCACAGAGATGTTGTCTCTGATGAACAGGGTACATTGAGATTGCAAAGCAGTCCTCCCCTCTTGTCACAGACACTGCAAGACATCACATCTTTCAAAAAAAATTAACCAGTCTCAAGTTAACTTGTGCAGTAAAAGTTACCCTACACCTACAAAACACAACCAAGCAAATAACAACAGATGGGCATTAAGACAAAAAAAATTGGCAATCGCAGCATCATGTTTCAGCAGCAATGCAGCTACGGACAACAATATGCATCGGATGGCAACAATAACATCAACAAGTAGAAATAGCAGCATGTCAATCACTGTATAATCAATCAGTAAGCACAAATAGCAGCAGCAAGCATTCTCTCAATCACAAACTACACTAATCAGCACCCCTCTCTCTCAATCTAAATAGCAGCAGCGAGCACGGCAGGAGACCGAGTTGGTTATCCAACGGGAAGTCAGACCAATATGACATGGAAAGGAATCATCCACAACACTCATATAGCACTACTGAAATGTATAGTATTTAAAAGGTTGGTGTCGACGGCGAGGTAGGAGCCCTCGCACGTCCAGTGCAGGGCGCAGACGCTGTCCCTCGGCCCCAGATCGCATAGCTTGGTAACCTGGACAACGGTGCCATTAGCAATCTGACCTGAGCGTGATCCATGGATGCAACAAGAAGATGCAAGAAAGAAAGAAAGAAATGCACCTTGCAGCTGGATGCGGACTAGAGGTAGACGCAGGTGCCGAGGCCGACGGCGAGCATGTTCTGCGAGGACCAGTCGACGAGGTTCAGGTAGAAGTCGTCCTGCAGGGACGGCGCGTCCAGCACCTGCACGCCGGCGACGACCACACACTAGTTAGTAGTAGATTGGAGATCGGAGAATTCGGTGCGCGCGAGGTGTTTGCGGGAATGGGCGGGCGGGCGGATCGAACCTTGTGGGGCGTCTTGGGGACCTTGCGGGGTGCCTTCTTGGGGGTGGGGGAGCCGGCGCTGCCGGCGCAGTCCAGCTTCTTGGCGAAGGGGGAGAAGGGTGCGGAGGAGCTGTCCGTCTTGAAGCGGAAGAGGTTGTTGGAGCGTGCCCAGCGACGACCTGGCGGGTGGAGTCGTCGTGCCCGGCGACGGCCGCCTCCATCCGAATCCGCCTGCGTGGGGAGCTAGCGGACGAGTGGTGCGGCGATGGGAGGGGAAGCCGAGACCCCTCGCTTCCCCCACCGCAGCCTCCATCGGGTGGGAGACGGAGGGAGACGAAGGCGGGGTGGTGGGGTGCCTCGATCTG